AAACCTATTTAGATCGATGGTTTGGCCTATAATAATCCGAATTACATATTTTTTTTGACATTAAAGGCATCAAAGGTCCGATTGAAGCGCTGTCTGATCTTCAAATTTCTGATGCATAAAGGTAGCATCTTCGGATATTACGGACTTTATTGTTTGTGCCAAAGAGTCCGTTCTAAAGATCAAGATGTTTTATAAGTTGTGCATACCTTAGAGAAAAAAGTGAATAAATTAAGAAGAAAATACATTGTCACGTCTTTGTCATCCACATTTCCAGTCTCTGATCCAAAATCGGTTTTACTAAATATTATTATTGATACGTCTTGAACAAAATTGACCTTGAATACTTAGCAACAGTAATATGCTGAATATCTCCTTACCGCCGTTTTCTGCGATCTATCTCCAAAGGATCATATCTTGCAGGTATCATTGCAGGTTCTCCGTTTGTCAAACAAAATAGGCTTATGAGTTATTATATATATTTGTAGTCGTGTAGGTGGAATACATGGCAAATGCATATATATATATATATATATATACCTAACTGAATGGACTCTCGGGAAGCCAAAAATGGATCGGATGATACATCAAATTCTACATAATTAGATTCTGGAATTCCTTCAATGTCAAAAGTTGACTCATCAATCCTTTCTTAATGAAATAATATGGTTAAGCAATGGAATAGTTCGAAAAATGGATAATGAAAATCATATACATTACCCCATTCATTCAACATCTCTAAAGGTGCTTTAACACCAGTTTCTTCAGGAACTAATTGATCATTCTGAACATTTATATCAATCTCATCTATAATTAGAGGAACAATTTCAATAATTTTATTTGGCAGTTCTTGTGTGCTTTTATTAACTTTTATTGAAATTAGGGGTTCTTCAATGTAATGATCCTCAAACTTAAATTCTTTGATAGAAACAATAAAATCATTATCGTTGCGAACGTCATTTTCCTTTAAGAATGATATAATACTGGCAATGTTATCTATCATTTCTTCATGATGCGATAAACTTGTAAAATAAAAGCAAAATTTTTTAAAATTCTGAAGGAATAGGTTGTAAACTAATACCCGATTAAGAATATTATACCACAAATCATCCAATGTAAATTGTTGCATTTCGCTTTCCGCGAAAGGTTCAGAAGAAACATCCGTAGTTGGTAGTTGGGTTGACAATTGTTTTAAAGTCGGTATAGAATACAAATCGAATTCATTATTTTTTTGTATGCGACTTGAAAGTAATGGCTCTTCCATAAAATAGGATTCACGAGTTGCTACATCTTTTAACAAAAGGAAAAATATAATTTAAAAGTGATTTTTGCTTATATCGAAGAAATTAATCGATACCTTCATAAATGT